CGGTCTTCCTCGTCTGATACCTTTAGTTTTATTGTCACCCTTGCGCAAAATCAGCAGCAAAATAAAATTACAAACAAAAATACAAACCAACAACAACAACAACAACAACAACAACAACAACAACAACAAAAACAACAACAATGCGGCCACTTTCGATTGGTACCTAAGATGTGAATGGTTTGTTTTCTTCACCTTGATCAGTCCTGCCTAAGACAGCCACCTGTCTTATACGGCCACTTTTCTCCATCACAATGGGTGGCCGTATTACACAGGTTTGACTGTACTTTAATTGAATATATAGATCTAGACAATCTGATTCAAGCAAAAACTATCTGCTGATATTGTGTTTTTGTCTTGTCCAAGTCCAACAGACTGTTTAAGGTTATTAGTATGAGAAGAACTGAAGGTCTTAAATTACCGTACAAGAGTATCACATTGTCATATGATGTAGACAAAAAAGATTAAGTGACAGAAATTACGAATAGCCAGTGTCATCTTGTTTATTTTTCAGGACGCTCGCCCACAGGAGGAATATAATGTCAGCCATTTAGAGGATGCAAAGAGAGTTGACTTTAAAGATGTGAATATGGAAGAGCTTTCAGCCCAGCTAGCTTCAGAGTTTAGTGGTAAGTATTAGTATACAGTATTTTTTCTTTTTACTGATGTGAAAGTAGAATTAAATTAGTAATAATGGCTGTGAAGAGCAGCTCAAATAAAGCGTGGTGTAAGTGATTTCACCTCAACCTACTGGAGGTCCATTATAGTTTTAATTCTTTCTTTCTTCAGGAAAACCGAACCCTACTGTTGTGTGCTATTGCTCTGTTGGCTATCGATCCTCTGTTGTGGCAAAAAATCTACAAGAGCATTACAAGAGTTCAGGTAAGAATTGCTGATTGCTGCAATTTATGCAATACATCAAATACATGATGTATTGAAGTCATGAAACAGTAAGTGAGTGAGTAAGTGAGTAAGTAAGTAAGTGAGTGAGTGAGTGAGTGAGTGAGTGAGTGAGTGAGTGAGTGAGTGAGTGAGTGAAGTGAGTGAGTGAGTGGAGTGAGTGGAGTGAGTGGAGTGAGTGGAGTGGAGTGGAGTGGAGTGGAGTGGAGTGAGTGAGTGAGTGAGTGAGGCCATTGGCCCCCATCACATCACATAAAACACTCATTTGATGAGTTAAGTTTTCATAATGAATAAGTACAGGTTGTGCACATATCTCTTATCATGGGTCAAACATTGCATATTTCTGTCACTGGGCCGAGTCAGGCTGGGAGGGATTAACAATTTCCTTTGATGGAAAAAGTGTGAACAATAGAAAACAAAGTGAAATTCATCTTCGATTTCATAAGGGTGAATTAGTTAATTTCCATTGATAGAGATTTTTATTTAATGGAAGGCTATGGGTTTTTAACAAAGCTTTGACTCTTCTGCTCCAATACCATGGGAGGTTGGTGATATATTCAGCTGTTTCTTGAAAGAGAGAAGGCATTATACTTGCGACAGACTTCTTCCTCTATGTTCTGCACAGAATGGTCAACAAGTTTACTTTTTACTTCACTGAGAAGCAGAGACTGTATTGATAGTGTATTATATTATTTCATTGAATGTTAATGAAAAGTTTTGACAGGCTGTACCTATAAATTGTAAATCTATCGCAATACAAAATCTTTTAGTTTTAGAGTGGATTACTTTTAGGAAGAGATAAACGTCTCATGTTTATTATAGGTGTATGTGTATGATTTTAAGCTACATACACTCATATTGTGATGTTGGAATGTCAACACCAATTTTTTCCAGTTTTTCACCTGTTAATTAAACAAATATATATTTATTTTTTTTTAATTTAAAATTGTAAGACACTGACATCTTAATATCGATACCTTAGAATACTCAGATTGCCTTTAAAAAAAAATTTTTTGGGTCATAGTTTTGTGACTTAAAACAGTGTGGTCATGGTAATTGTAATGGTACCACAAAAAGCTGCGAGAATAAGTATGAAGAGGGAGGGTATTTTAAAGGGGACAGTAGACACATTGTGCGAGCTTGTGTAGGTGAAGGAGCTGAAACTGATCATCAGGCTAAGGTCTTGGAAAACACAACTCTTGTGAGTTCACAGTAAAAATTCACAAAAAATGTAAATTTTCAGTTGCCAAAGACTCTCATACTTTGGTAGTTATCAAACTTTGTCAGCCATTTTCTGGCTAATTTTACCCCTGAAAATGAAACCGGATGACCCTGACCTCCTTCAATTGCAAATATTTCAACATTGATGGATCTTTTTTTTCACCAAAAGGGAAGGCAAATGTACAGGTTTTAAGATGATACCAATAAACCTCATATGCCCCAACATTGAGGAGCCCCTGATTCCACCTCTTCGTGACATATATATCATCATCCAGTGCCAGATCTGCGACAGACATCGGCGATCATGATTTTCCATTCATTCCTTTGCTCGGATGCTCTCAGAAAAGCTACGTTTCCCTGATCTTTCTCTGTTACCCATTTATTTAGGTTCCCTAAGTATGTTGTTCTGGGCCTACCCCTGCCTCGCTTACCCTCAATTTTGCCAGTGAGAGCTAGATGTTCAAGACTCTTATGTCTATTCAGGTGTCCCAAAAACTGCATTTGTCGTTTCCTGATTGTTTTTAACATTGAGCGTCCCACGTGGGCTTCATCAAGCACTACCTCATTTGATTTCTTTTCCTTCCACGATACTCTTAGCAGTCTCCTAAGAAACCACATTTCTGTTGCCTCTATTTTATTTTCACTGTCTTTAGTGATTGTCCAGCATTCACAGCCATATAGAAGGGTTGACCAAACATAGCATTTCAGGACTTTCATTTTGGTCCTTCCATGACTGCTCTTGGGATATTACAGCAGTGGATTCCCGTTGCCTACTGTCGGTTTGTGTCATATATATATATATACTCAAAACAAATTCCAAAACAGTGTTAAATAAAGTTTGACATTTGGGAAGAAGAGTACAAGTTCATTCTCAATTCTCAGTAGTGCTTTCTTTTGTTTGGTTACAGGACATTTTGACTTTTCTGGATCTACAAGACATTTGACTGTACAGAATCGTTCATAACAAATTTTGCTTTTTAGGACAGCAACCAGTCCCAGAGATCTACAACTTGGCAGGTTCCCTGTTCCAGTGGGCCAACGAGAGGCGGCCAATGGTGGACATGAACGGCCAGAAGACCCAGTTTGCTCACCCTTACTCCGTGCTGTTTGGGAAGCTTCTTGATGCTCCACTGCGCAAATCAAATGTTTGAGTCTTCAGGTTTTTAAAAAAAATTTCTGTAAAAATATATTTTAGTTAGTTTTAGTAGAGGTTTTGAGGTTTTACAGCGCTCACAACTGCATAAGAAAATGTATTTTATTTGTCAGGGAGCTCAAACGTTTCTGACTGGAGTATTGTACTACTATTTGTAGGCTACTTGTACAAATGTGAGGCGTTGCGGTGAAATCCAAGTGCTCGTCAAAATACTGAAATCGAAGAAACCAGCTTTTTTCTGCAAGTTTGGAAATTTTTCTCAAATTAAACATTTTTGGCTCTACATCTTTTATTTCCATTTAAAAACACATTTCTGTGTGGATTTGACTGAAAAACGCTGATAAAAGGCTAAAAAACTGTAGATTTTCAGTTTCCAATGACTCTCAAGCAGTGGGAAGTGACCAAACTTTGGCAGCCATTTTCACGCTAATTTTACCTCTGAAATCAGGCGACCCCCCGCCTCTTGCAATCACAAATATTTCTACTTTTATTCAAGATAGATTGATTTTCTTTTCACTTTTCACGGAACAAGCTTTAAGATGATACTAATAGTAATAACTCCATATGCCAACATTGATGAGCCCCTGATTCCACTTTGTCGTGATCCAAATAATTTGTTGAAGAAATTTCTGACGGAACTGTTTTAAAATCTTTCTCCTTCTTCTTGATCCCATTTATTTGAAGTCTGGTATCTATCTCACACTGGGCTGTCCTGCTCAGTTCATCTGTTGGCCCGAAAAGCTTTTCCTGTAGTGTCAATGCGGTTGGCCACGTTTTCTGTCTCAGAACCCTGTGTGTCTTGCAGTGCTGAAGGATGTGTTCCACAGTTTGGTCCGCCTCCCCCCCACTGATATATTGTGTTTTTAAAAGACTTTAGAGTTAGAGTAAAAATAATCAGAAGAAAAAAGAAAAAGTTGCATTCAGAAACAGAATAATTTCAGCCAGTCTGCATCAGATTGTGTCACAAGTTTTTTTTAACTATTAGGATTAAAATCAAGGAAACAATCCAAATTTGAGAAGAAAAAAAGCATTTCCACACCCTGATAGATCTCTATTTAATTGGTAAGGAGTGGGAATGACGATACCTTTGCTAGTATCTTTGAGGCGTCTACAGAATTTTAAAAATGCGTAAATATGATCAATGATGAATTTTAGTGAAATCAAGCTAGATACCAGTGGAATGAAAATCAGTGTAGAAAAATAAATTAATACAACTTCACATATTGCTTTAACAATATAGTTGTCTTGTTTGGTTTTATCATTGTTCAGGGATTATAATTACAACCAACTCCCAGAGACTGCATGCTCTGTTTCCCAATTGGCAACCGAGGATACCATATTTACGCATTTTAAAAATTCTGTAGACGCCTCAAAGATACTAATACTAGCAATGGCATCGTCATTCCTACTCCTTATCAATTAATAAATAAATAGAGATCTATCAGGGTATGGAAATGCTTTTTTTTTCTACTCATTTGGATTATTTCCTTAGTTCTAATCTTCACAGTTTAAAAAAAATTGTGACAAAAAACTTAGTGAGTGTCTTTAGGCCATTCCCGAAAGGGGGACATTTCTCGTTCTAATGCCTGGTAGAATTGTAAATGGGCTGATCCAACAATGTCAAGCTCATAACTGTGCCTGAACTTCAACCAACAGGGAACTGCTGCTTTTTCTTTCCTAAACCTTACTATCGTCATTTTCCTCTACATCTTTTGTACGTTTGTCACACTCTTGTGACCCGCTATTTCCGGGGTGCCTTGATAGTTGAAGCAGACTTTGTGCTGGTGAAGCTAGAGTGGTGAGCAGAGTAAGTCTGATTGCCTGTAAGGACTTCTCTGTTGACATCCACCCCTTGGTGCTCATATGACCGTAGGCAGTTGCAAGCACCGTAAAACCTCAACTAAAACAAAACAAACAACCATGCATTCCGTTGCCATTATGGATATTCATGCCATCGCTGTCGGGGAAAAAAAAAAGAAGACAAAAGGCAACTTCATTTGACTGTTCTTTACAGGCGAGTTTTAAAAAAAGTTGTTTATTTTGAAATATTTCTTTTAAAAAAGGAACAATTACAAACACAATTCACTGACCTTGTGCACTACATGAATATATCATTTCAGACAATAAAGACATGAGAAAATTCAAAATGAACACACTTTTCAGCTACATGAAACCAAACAACAACAAAAATGAACACAAGTTTATTTAATAGTTCACCACTCGACAAATCAGACCAGGTTTTTTACAATAAGTTCCTGAACACATGGAGAGCTGGGAAATCATAGCTGGCAACACAATAAGTGGGTTTTTTTTTTAACAATGCATTCAGTAGCCATTAAGGACATTTATACCGTTGCTGTCTCAAAAAAAAAAAAAAGAAAACTAAAAAAAAAATTTAGCAACTCCATTTGTCACTCCTTTACAGAATGAATTAAAAAGTTGTTGATTTTCCTTGTGACGATGGTGATGGAATTTTTCTAAAAGGAACAATTACAAATTACAATTCATTAACCTCATGCACAACACGAATATAATATTATTTCATACAATAAGGATTCGTGAATATTCAAAATACACAATACTTTTAAGTTATTACATAAAACAAAACAAAAAACAAACCAACAACAATAACAAACAAACAGAAATGTAATTAATCATTTACCAATGGACAGATCAGAACAGGTTATGTACAATAATAAGTTCCTGAACACACGGAGAGGTGGGACATGTTTAGGCAACATAAAAAGTGTCCTACAGCATTATGTACTGTACAATTCCTGTACATATTTACTTGGGCATACTCTCATAAGCAATCCCCCCCGGCTATCCAGCCTGCATTCACTCAGTTTTTCTGCACATTTTGAAATAATTTTGTGACCCCTGGCATAAACTTAAGTGTCTAGTGAGCTCTGGATAAGATCAATTACTGTTATAGGCTAGAGGAGTGCAAAATGTAGTGCTTTGTGTAGAAGTTCACAGCTCATTCTGTGATTGGTTAAAATAACCCAAAGGAGAAAAGGAACAACGACTTCATGATTGACACTGGGAATCATTGTAAATGAAATCTACCTGAAGACATCATATAAAACTGAATAGCCAAGCATTCACACTGGATCTATGTGTCCTGTGAGCATAGATACTCTTCCCCTTCACTCTTATTCTTATCTGCCATACTTTATTCCTTGGATGAAATGTGCTATGACTGATGTATATGACCTTATTATTTATCGATGTGTCATACTGATATTATTTATACTACCTTATTATATATCGATGTGTCATACTGATATTATTTATACTATATAAAATATATATAAAATTCTACTTGTCCAGAGAAACAAAACTATTCTGTTATCTCTGACTTGTGAGAAATTGCCATTTCATTTTTAAAATCTATCATTCAAAGTATAGTTATTATATATACATTATTTGTTTTGTTTACTCAAACCTTTCATAGAATCTCAAAAGAACTACACTCATCTGTCTGAAATCAAATTTCTATCAGGCAAAATTGCTTAATAATTGTGCCATTAAAAAATTGAGATTGCTCTGCCGACACAGTTGAATAGGGATAAAAACATCTTGATGATTCCAGAAAATCTTGACATGATCCAAACATAATTTGCATGCATTGACATCTTTACTCATTACTATTACTCTGGGTCATTTTCCGAATTGCAAGACAGAACAATAACGTGAATATATTTGTACCAGTTCATAGACGGTACATGTATTGAGATACAGTTTCAAAATGTTGAAAGTATGGACGTTTTCATGTGAGACAGTGTGGTGGAATCAGGCTCTCGTCAAAATACTCAAAGTGAAGTAACTTGCATTTTTCCGCAGGTTTATGAATTTTTATTAAATTTTTGTTTTTTGACTCAACACCTTTCATGCCTATTAAAGAACTGATCTGTGGAAAATTTTCTGAAAAACGTTAATTAAAGGCACAAAAATGTAAATTTTCAGTTACCACTGACTCTTAAGCTAAGGAAATAAATAATCTTTGGCGGCCATTATTTCACTAATTTTACCTCTGAAAACAGGTGACCTCCACCTCCTTCTTTCGCAAATACCTCGACTTTTATTCAAGATAAATGGATATTTTTTCCACCGAAATAAAGACAATTGAACAAGCTTTAAGACGATACCAAAAACTCTACCTGCCCAAAAATTGACGAGAGCCTGATTCCACCTCGCTGTCTCACATATGCTCTTATTACTGATTCCCCTCCTCAGTCAGATGGCTGATATCGAGATGCCAAACTGTCTGAAAATGATACAATGAAGTGATGGACCAATAGAAAAACTATCTGAGTATTTGAACGCCTCAAACTGTATTTATCATAGGCACTAAGGATTTACTTTGAGCTGCTATTCTCTGAAAAACCACAAGATATTTCTTTTGTCATTGTTAACCTTTCTGATATGTGCTGTGAGATTTAATTGTGAACGTTTATTCACAAGCTATTTAATTCATGACCTTGACCTTCACTGCCATAATGAAAACATTACTGACACATGTCGTTGCCTCATGATTTGCTCAAAGCAGCAAATCATCGCTGCAGGATTCTAAACGGCTGACTTGTTTTCCATCAATTTTACAGGAGAGTGAAAAAAACAACAACTAAAAAGCAAGGTTATTATACACATTAGCTGTTTAGAATTCAATTTTGTACTGTTGCGACTATTTGGATAGGTTAATACAGTTGAAAGTTATTTGTAGGAAGTGTTGTGAGATGTCAGTCAGAATTTAGGGGGGGGGGAAAAGTTAAAACGGCATTTTCGGAGTTGGATGTTTAGAATCCTGCGGCGATAAAACGACATATTTTCAAGACATTTTGCAATTATTTGGTTTACTCATCAGACTTGTCAGCTCAATACTTTAAAAAAGAAAGCATTGATTTTAATGATAAGTGGATAAGGACTGTGTTATGTTGAAAACAAAATTTTATATGGGTGCCGCAAGGTGCTGTAGTAATGGTCTATTGGCCACATTGTACTACAAAGGATTGTATTTCATCTAAACATTTCAAGTTTATTTTGCATTGTATTCCTTCTGAATATTCAGGACCTTCCAATAAAAGATGTTTAAAAAAATGTTTTGATGGTTCTCGTTCCTTTATAAAATTATATTTGAAAAACAAAATTTATATATATATATATATATATATATAGAGAGAGAGAGAGAGAGAGAGCGCGAGAGAGAGAGAGACGTTGGTCCACATTCCAAAATTATGTTAAATACTTTTTGTTTTTTCACAAAAGGTAAATCGCAGGAATTACCATCCAGCAACCAGTTGTGACCTATCCTTCACAACACTGGACGCAGGCCAGCAGGATGAATGCAGGATTTCTCTCTCAAGGCTCGCGACTACGGTCGAACCTGCTCCAATGCCACCTGTACAAATGGCCACTTCCCACTTCCTCCCTTGCGTATTCTTTACATTATCATGACACTGTGTAAGGTGGCCACTTTTCTTCTCGAGAGTGGGTGGCTGTCTTAGGCAGTTTTATGCAATCACAAGGTTCTCTTCATTACCCGTAGCTTCTTCTCATATATTCTTTTTGAGTTCCAACCCACCGTTATGGGAAAATCATTAATACTTGATAACACTTAAGGAACTTACAAGGTTGTAACCAAAAAGAAGAAAAAAGAAAATTTAAAAGGTTGACATTGCAGAATAATAATAATATGAAGATCCTTTTTATCTCGCCAATTCCTGTGAGCACACAGCTCTAGGAGCTTTACATATACCCAAGTACAAATTCATTTAAAATGAACACTACTCTACATATAAAGGCAGACACAAGCAGTCATACAATAGAAAAGAAGGCAGCAAGACCAATATATCAGAAATGCTGGAACTTTCCAGAAAAAAGGCACCCTTGCAACATGAAAGGGCAGGAGCAGTTGCCCCATAAATCTACAAGAAAAACAAACAACTGCATTTATTGTGTTGCTTTCCTAAAATTTCTCTGATGAGTCAAAACCCTGCATTTGTACAGGGGTCGTTTTAGTAAGAATTTTACGGCATTTGTAACACAAATAGGTTATACTGTCCCCGTGGTTTTATGCACTCCGCATAATTTAGCAAAATTTGATCATTTTTTTGCATAATTTCTGATTATTTTCCTCTATCATTCTTTGTTAAAAGTAACAGAATTGCATAATTTCAAATTTTTAGGCTCAGTTTGTCAAACACCCACCATGGCGCATACTGCTTAAGAACAAAGCAGGCTTGCCAACTTTTGAGATACTGAATTCTGGAATTTTGATTGCTCTTGAGCGCCACGGATACACACTTCTGAGATAGGCTACAGAAAAAAACCCCACCCACACCACAAAAACAGCTCAAACAAACCAGTGGAGAAACAGAGAGAGAGAGAGAGAGAGAGAGAGAGAGAGAGAGATGAGAATGTAACAGTACAGTTACTACACATACCCCTTCGCCCATGCCTTCGAGTTTTGTTTTTTCTAAGAAAAAATAATTAAATCATTTTCGGGGGGGGGACCATTGCGCTGGCGTCTCGGGAAAGGTTCGGGAACGACGATGGCAATTCTGGAATTTCCTGAAAAATTCAGGAAGGTTGGCAAGCCTGGCGTGCTTTTCTTTCGGGCTTTAAAGCACAGGGAGCAAGAATTCGACCGAAGTCGGAGAACCATTCCCGACAGAAAAGCACGCCTGGACTGCCTCTCGTCCTTCATAATTTGCGACAAACAACATAAATGGAAAATCTGTATAGAAATGAAATCAAGCCCTTTTAATTAGGGCATTGCCAAACAGACGCTTTTTGATAGAAAATTGGCCAAAGTCCACAGCTTCGCTAAATAATGTTACTGACTTAGGAAAGCAAAATATCAGACAGCTTGGCGCCTATCTAAACAAAGCTGGGACCAAAGGGAGTATCATAATGAGGTAGATTTAAACATTGTCGCAACAAACATCCAATTTCAAGATCAGAAATCATACTTGAGTGGGATAGATCACTGTATAATATAAAAACGCAATCTATTATTATCGTCATCCCTTTCCCAATATGCGTGTCAACAACCATTTGAGCAGCGACCAGTTTCTTTTTTAAAATATGTCCAAACAAAGGAACAGGACAGAGTAGGGGATGGCTGGGTTTGGGTGAAGTACGGTGTGGCTTAATGCCACGGAGGCGCTACACTAGCCGTGAAGGCAAACCTGGGTCACCCTGGAGCATCACTGGCCAACGGGGTTCTGGTGAAGTTACGACGGGTCTAGCAAGCCGGTAATGGATAAAAAAACAGCTAAAAAACAAAGAAAGGAGGAAAATAAATGGACAGACTCTTACAGAAAATGGAATGGAAAAGTCAAACGAGCACAAGACAGAACAATGAAAATTGAAACATGGAATGTGTGCGGATTAGGAGACAAGGAACCACAAAACTAAATAAGGAATGCAAACACCTGAACATGAAAATTTCCATCTAAAAAACAGAAGTTATGAAGGTCAGCAGAAACCCAGGAAAACTCAACATCCTTATTGACGGAACACAGCTCCAACAAGTAGAGGAATTTAAACATTATTTGGGAAGCATCTTCACACAAGACGGACGTATGGACAAAGAAATAGAAACAAAAACTATGAACGCAAATGCAGTGACCTACCAGCTAGCACCCCTGCTAAGTCACAAGAACATCCCAACCTAAGTGAAATCCCAGCTCATCAATAGCATCTTCATACCAACATTAACATACCAGTGTCAAACATGGTCTCTAAACAAGGCAAAAGAAAGAAAAATCAATGCAAGCGAAATGAGGTGTCTCCGCAAAAACCATCAACGTCACCAGAAGAGACCGCAAAAGAAACTAAACCATACGTCTACAAACTGGAATGCCACCATTAATAAAATTCATAGAGCATCAAAGAGTTATATGGTTTGAACATCTAACCAGAATGCCCCAGAAACAACTAGCAGCTAGAGCTTACAACACCAGAGAATCCGGCTTCAAATCAAGAGGAAGATGAAGAATTAGAAAGACCTGGCTGGATGGGGTTAAAAAGGTCCTGGAACAACATATCTATCACAGACGCTACACAACTAGCACAGGACCGAAACTTGCACCTCCCCTTGACATCCTAAGGATACCAGAAGAAGGAAAAAGTAAGTAAGTAAGTAAATAAAGGAAGTGTTTCTGCCTACCTAAGAGGACATTTGGTCCACAAAAAAAATCGCAGTGAAAATGATGGAGACTGCAAAATGGTTCTAAGTGGAGTGCACTGTGTCAGTTCTGTAAAGAGCAAAACATATTCAATGGCCAAAGTCCAAAATTATGAAATACATGTACAGTCTACTCTGCTCTTACAGTAGCCAAATGTCCAAGACAATCTCCTGTACAAATGACCACTCCCCACTTCCCTTCTTGCATTTTATCTCTATTCCAACGACACTGCCCAAGGCATCTATGTGTCTAAGACATCTGATCAGGGAAAACTCTTGACTGTACATGTCGCCAGTGGCACAAGCAATCCACTTAATTCTTTAACCAAGGAATTATTTTCCACATTTTGACAGAATTTGTTCAAGATCTCGTGAAACACGTATACATGTAAAATATTTATAAAAATGCTAAAACGTTGTCAAAAATTAAAGGAGTAGCTGTATTACCTGTATTACCTGTATTACCTGTCCTGGGCAACAATGTCATTGCACACCACACTGGTCCATAAGTGCTCAGTTCCCCCCAGCACCAAAGCCCACAAGGTATCCAAACGATTGTTCCGGTGGCTGTCTGATTGTGGCGACGTCTTTCCTTTTATTTATTTTAATCTAACGCTTCAGAGTCAAAATAAATCTACTCTTTTACACCAGAGACAAAAATATAACCCTACTAGTTTCTGACGTGTTGTGCCTATCTGGAATCATGAAACGCAAGAAAACAGTAAGCCTTGACCACAGCATTAAACTGCACTTTGGTGATGCTGAAAAGTGCATCTTTGACAGAGCTTTGGGAAGTTGTAAAAATCGAAAATACAAAAAAATTTGAACTTGAGTGGATTGCTTGCGACAGCGACGGTGTGTTCTTAAATGCATGGGCATAATAACTTTATTTTAATATTACGGCAATTTGGCTCCCAGTTCCATGACAACAGTGTCGCCCAAACACTGGTTGCCGCCATTTTGATGCTTGGGCTCACAATCAAAGGCGCTCGAATTAAGACTAAGACATCTCAAATCGTTCTGCCTCCAAGGGATCGTCATTCAAGAGGAATTCATCGTCGTCCTCGCCGCCGGTGGACTCAAAATCGGAAGAGTCTGTGTCCGAGTCCGGGTCGCGGTAAGCTAGAAGATAAGAGAACAGAGGAGATGGTCTCAAATTCAACAAATTTCCAAACTCGCATGAGAACAACAGCTAAAAAACATAGACAAGAAAAACAAAATATGTCACCTACTGGAGGGAGAGAATTAAATAAATTTGAGACTTTAGCCGCTCTCCTCAGATCATCTCATTCAAAATGCTTTTTTAAACTTAAATGAAAGCTATGACTAAAAATGTAGACTACAAAAAATGAGGTCCACAAATTTGAGAAAATTGAATAAGTTTGAGAATGTTCATACTCTGGTCAGTAAGACAATTCTAAGAAAAATATTGCTCACCAAAAAGTGCCTTGACAACATTATTATACCAGATATATCAATATACCAGAATGCTGTGCATGTCTTTCTTCAGCATGTGAAAAATGCTGTGACCATGAAAGTGCATGCGAAGCATGAACACTGAAGTCTTTTCCATTTTAAAAAAAGTGAGGCATCGAGGTTAAATCAGTCACTCATTTATATTTAAAAAATTAAATAAAAGAAAATGAAATTTGTTTCTCCGATCTGTTATTTTTATCAATTTTTTTGTTTTGGCCTTTCCACCTTTTCCTTTTATGTCTATTTAAAAACATGTTTCTGCTTTGATTTTACAGAAAAACGTAGATTAGACCTGCATGTGAGCCTCAACCAGATTGTCTGAAAATTTTGCGCAACCCCCCCCCCCCCCCAAAGAGCTTTTGTGGGTGTCATAAGGAAGGACTTCCGAGTAACCAGCAACCACCCCAACAAACACAATAAAGAAGTGACCTAACTCTAAAACACAATAAAGAAGTGACCTAACTCTAACCCTACCCCTAGACCTACCCTAAAAAAGAACCTGCAAGGGCCTCATGTAAAAAGGCCAGCACAAGTCCAAAATGAAAACATTTTTAAAATTAAAAAACCACACTCCAAAACAGTCAAGGAGCATAATATGGCATACATCTACATTGCTGTAATAGGGTTTGACACAATAACACAACAGAATTGGAATATGAATCCTCCATATAGATCTAGATCTTGTAGAACAAGTGAATAGGAATAGACCTTGAACTAGAAATCCGCATCCGACTCCGAACAGAGGGACTCAGCTGAGTCTAGATTATAAATAAATAAATAATTCACGCACCTGATGAAATGCTTTTTACCAACATTAATATTACAGCACAACTTATGATAGGGTTTGACACAATAGAATTGGAATATGAATCCTCCATTGAGGTCTATAATGATTTATATAAATCTAGATCTAGATTCTATTAGAACAAGTGAGTCGGACTTGAATGAATCCACACGATCTGAACAATTGAATTAGTCAACAAACGAAATTCAAAATGGCCACTCGAGCACGAAACTCAAAGTAGATAATTTAGGTCGTCGTCCTTTTTCGTATTCGCATTTCTACTCAGGTTCCGACAATTATGTCGGAAACGCCTACGTCGGCAGTCGGCACGAAAACGAAAGTGCCGACAAAGCCGACGGGAGAAAAAGGGGGCGCTGGCAGTCGGCCAGGCCTCGCACTACGCACATTGACTGATACAGGTGGGCCTAGCGATAGCATCGGCCGGCTCACGGGTCGGGTCGCGATTGTCTGATTTCAGACGACTGTCGGCAAACATGCAGGTCTAGTAGATCAAATGAGCAATAAATGTTAATTTATCGTTTCCAAGGCTACTACAGCTTTGGAAGTCACCAAACTTTGGCAGCCATTTTCTCGCTAAATTCTATGACACCAGGCAAATCCCACCTCTTTCAATTGCGAATATCTCAACTTCTATTGAAAATAGATGAATAATAGTTTTCACCAAAAGCAGAGAAAATGAACAGGCGTTATGATTAGATTATACCGACAGCTCCACATGTCCAAAAATTGACAAGTGCCTGATTTCACTGCATGGACATACAATAAATATTCTGCTCATATTTTGAGCAACAAACATGTTACGTTAGCAACAGTTTGCCTCCATTTCTTTTGAAACTGGACCAGACAACAACTAATTCTGCGCGTCAAATATTGCTACCGTACCCGTTGCATCCACTTTGTTGAAGCTCATGGGCCAGTAACTGCGAGCCTCCAGCAGCTCCATATTATGCTCACTCAAATCAAAGGCTTCTTGATCTGACCAACACCTCCAAGAAATTTTCGCGGAGTACTTTGGCCGGTAATAGTCGATGAACCTGATGCCTTTCCGGTTGTCCATGCTACTGCTACTGGGGATGGTTTTCACTGAAATGGAAAGACCACAGACCTAGAATTATTACGCTGAACATTGCAACGGGAAAAAAAAGTCGAAGTCATACAGTTTGATTTGAGTTTAGTTTAGTAGGGGTTTTACGGCGCTCGCAACTGCATAAGGTCATATGAGCGCCAGAAGATTAGAGGTGTTACAAGAGAGTAACAAACATAAAAAAGATGAAGGGGAGATAAGGACAATACATGTTTGATAGGAAAGAAGAAGCAAACCACACCAGAGCACCCGCCAACCACCCACTTTGATTTGAGTAAAACAGAGCAGATCAACACGACAATGTTAATCTAACCGTGGGCAAAAAAAAGCAAAGACTTTTTGGTATTAGTAAGTGTTTTACGGGACTTGCAACACAATGTGGTCATATAGACGCTGGGGATTTGAGGTGTTGCAAGACAGTAACAAACGCAAAAAAGAAGGGGGGAAAGATAAAGACGATAGATGTTTGATAGGAAAGAAGGAGCAAACCACACCAGAGCACCCGCCAACCACCCACATAGCAAGACCGATAGACAAAAACAACAGAAGGAAAGTAAAGAAGAAAGACCCATTGGCGACACCAGCCCACCATCGTTAAGCCAATCTTATAACAGCTGGGGCAGCCTGTTCAACCTGCGTAGTGCCACAACTGCCATAACCAGCTGCTGCCGTTGCATAAATTCAGTACCCCCAAAACCGTCCGCTGCAAGAGTTTGCCAGACTGTATTTGTTATTCAGTAAGAACTACTCCAGTAAGAGCTATTGAATGCTAAACTTCATACAATTTTTGACATAATGGTATCATCATTCTTTTCAGTACAGGTCTTCTGGGCTATTTTCACCGATTTTCTAAAGATACACACCATGTGAAGTAAACCTAGCTGCCTCCATTAGCATGGTCTTCAAGTAGAGTGGTACTGTGGAGCCCATGGTACTGAGAGGGTTAATAATTTTCAAAAAAAGAAAGATAAAACAAAATATGTTGTTATGCATCTTAAAACAAACACCAGGGATGTATCTTAAGATTTAAAGTTTTTTTTCCAAAACAAAATTATGGCACTTTGTCTCCCTGAATTTTCAGGAATCTAATTTAACCGAAAGTAGATTTTTCGAGAAGCTACAATACAGTTCTTCACATTAGGAGAGAAAGGAATGTGCACGAAGCTGTTCTACTTCTGTCATTTAAAAATGTATATATTTTTCGAGTGAAAAAAAAAGTCTTACACTGAAATTTGGCCTAAAAACAAACATTTCCCAGATGGTTCTGGAACATCGCCTGGTGTCACTCATGCCTCATTACAAGCAGCCTCAAGACAACTAGGAAAAGCAGAAAACAAAACACATACTTGTGAAATAGCAAAGGATTTTACGGCCCTTTCGCATCTCAGCAGCCTTATGGAAGCATTCCAATGATTCATAGGTCACAAAAGGGTTGCCGGCCACATCAATCTCTTCAAGTTGGGGGCACTTCATGGCAGCTTCCAGCATAACTTGAGGGAACGGAACGACAGATAAGCAATTAAGACATTTGTGTTTTCACATGGGTTTTTTTTACATGTCTTGTTTTGTTTTTTATTATTAAAGAAGACCAGTCTCCGCCCACTAGATAAAACTGAAGCTAAAGCTCCAGCTTCTGGAAGTATCGTTTGTTTTAGTAAGAGTTTTACGGCACTTGCAACACAATAAGGTCATATAAGCGCCGAAGATTAGAGGTGTTACAAGAGAGTAACAAACATAAAAAAGATGGAGGGAAGATAGAGACGATAGATTTTTATAGGAAAGAAGGAGCAAACCACACCAGAGCTCCCGCCAACCACCCACGGGAAGTTTCGTTCACTCCAGCTTTGAACTCGGCCCAAAGGCAGAAAAGCCAGGACCAGATGCCGCACTTTGAACTTGTTTGGCTGTTGGGCAGGGGGTCCTGCTCTGCAAAAAGTGATTATCTTTGAATTCTGCTCCGGATGTGAAATAATTTTTGCATTGGCACTGATCCCTGAGAAGAAGGGCTACTCATCCATTTTTACAGGATTCAACCTTTTAACTCCCATAGAAACAGTGCTGTCTTACTTAGACTTAAGCTTACAAGAAATAGCTCGGATGTCAAAGACTGAATTTCTTGTGACCATGGGGGAAAAAATTCACCGAGCTATCAATGTTGTAAAAAGATTCAGGAATTAATCATGTGCTTCAATGTTTGCAGAATACAAACAGTGTAGTAAATCTACCCAATCAAATGTAGTAAACTTTTCAGTACATACTTCTGTCAGAAATAGTTTTGCTTCCTTGGAGCAACAGCTTCCTCAGATTCCCTCTGTTCACCGTGTCTAGCAACGATTCATCGGTGATGTTTTGAAGATGGCAGGCATTCAGTACCTGAAAAGATCAATACGAGTTCAAATTTGTTCCACTGTATCATCATTTTTTAAAAATTAATTAATAAACCTTTATTAATCTCTAGCGTGAAAGTTGAAAAGTCTTCTTTTTTTTATTAGCAGGCATTTTTTTACTCCCCCATTCACACAATTTAGATCGTTTACGAGGCGGAGGGCCTACCCGTGCTGAGATGGATACATTATCCCAGCAGAAATACCCTTCCAACAAGGGAACCAAACTTGGTTTTTCTACATGAAATGGCAAAGCACCCAACTCTACACCACAGACACCAGTCATATGGAACTGGAAACTTATTCTTCTGGAAAATATTCATAGCAAGCTTTCTCAGATTATTCCACCCTTTTTCTTTGATGTCCAGTGTACTGTAGTAATGACATCCTTTCCTTAAAAATGATGGTCCTCGTTAAAACAAAAAACTGTGTCCTGTTGTGGATGAAAAAACGGTATTTAATCATCAACCTTTCCGTGAAATGTTTGAATGCACGCACGTCAATTTTTTAACCAGCTGACAATGCATTCCAACCGTGAGGGGTTTCGCTTTCCATGGCAATTCTCCAGCTCACAATAATCGGACATATAAACAACTACAACTTACACCACTGTAATGAGGAAAAGCTGAACTTTTACAAGGTGTACAGCATTTGGTGATTTATAGCAAAAGACCAAAGAAACAAAGATCTGAACTACCACAAATTCACCGAAGCCAAGCGCTCGGAAGGCCGCCAGAGCCTGCGAGGCTGTGTCTGCGCTACCTGTTTTAAGTAATCAAACAAACAAACAAACAAACAAACAAAAAAAAACCATAACGCCAATACCTCCAGATGCTTGAGATTTGAAATCTGTGTGACCGACTTATCAGTCAGCTTGTTGCAGCTGATATCTAAATCAACAATATTGACGCATCGACGGCAGACCAGTGAGAAATCGCGGTCTTCAAGGCCAGTGTTTTGAACCTGAAATAGGATTTTTCAAAAAGGAAAGCAGCATATCAGAAAAAGAATACTTTTTTTTCCATTGTAAGTGTTTTATGGTGCTCGCAACAGCATAAAGTCATATGAGCTTGCGGGACACATGAAGTATTTTCAGTTATGAAGGAATTAATAAAAAATCTTCTTCTTAGCTGAAGTGAAAGTAAAGAAAAACACATCGACATGACAATGGCCATTTAATCCAAAAGAAAAGGAATATAATAGAAAGACAGTAATAAAACAGAAATAGAGTCCACTCTTGTCGTAACTGAATTAAGTGAACACCCCTTAAACTGACTACCATTCATAAGTTTGTTTCTGTATTTTCCTAAGTTGTTTCGACGTTTCCTGACACAGATAAGAAACTACTAGGGCAACAAGAAGTTAGTTTTAGTTAGTAGAGGTTTTACGGCGCTCGCAACTGCAAAAGGTCATATGAGCGCCAAGGGGTGGATGTCAACAGAGAAGTCCTTACAGGGAATCAGACTTACTCTGCTCACCTCTCTAGCTTCAGCAGCACAAAGTCTGCTTCGACTATCAAGGCATCCCGGAAATAGAGGGTCACAAGAGTGTGACAAACATACCAAAAAAGTAGAGGATAATGGCGATAGTAAGGATGAGGAAAGAAAAAGCAGTAGTTCCCTGTGGTAGTTCAGGCACAGTTATGAGCATGACATTGTTAGATCAGCCCGCCATTTACAATTCTACTGTGCACTAGAACGAGAAATATCCCCCCTTTGGGAATGGCCTAAAGACACTTCAGTCAGTGGCACCGCCCCGTGGGGTAGGGCAACAAGAACTTACTCGAAATGTAATTCACTGAAGCATCATTTCCAGACCCAAGTAGAAGTAAACCAGGTATACAAACAATTAATATTTCGTTACCTCAGAATTACAAAGTTCTATCAGCTCAGTACCTAATTTTGAGAAATTTGAAGTTGAAAATTTTGAGTTTCACAATATTTTAAGCTTTTTCGAATGCAATCTTAACATACCTCGGTTAGAAACAGCAGCACCGAATAATATTATAATGAACTCACCCAGCTCATTTGCATATGAGCTGGGCCATGTGACTTTGTCTCGGTGTTTAATATATCTTGATAACGACTCACAATAATCTTACGATTTTGATAGAGCAGATAAAACATTTGATTTCTGACCTCATGGTCTCAGTAAATCAAAACGGCCAAAATTGTCGGACAGAACTTTGTAATTCTGAGGTAGCGATGAGTGTAACATTTTATGACTCTGTGCACTTCCACATCATTTTAAAACCAACAACACAATTCAACAGTAGTGGTTACAGAGGGCGTCTTTCGAAAGGCAAAACAATTTAGTGTACTTGACAAGTCTTTGCTTGTTTGGGTAAAGAGATGCACATCAACACAATAACAGTCATTTGGTGCAGGGGGAAAAGTAAGACAGATAGACAGAAACAACACAGGGAGAGAAAAGAAATGGGACCTACTAGTGATGCTCCCCCCTTCCACCCACTTGATAAGCCTGCAGAGTTGGAAGTTCGTTTTTTATTTGTAAAGTGTTTTACGGCGCTCGCAACTGAATAAGGTCATATGAGCACGCGGGACACATCTAATATTTTCAGTTGGTAGGAAATTTTGAATTTTGCGCGGGTGGCGGCTGAAGCCCACTCTTATCGATTTTAGACCACCAAGGGATCTTTAACGTGCGCAACTTGCACACGGGCCCTCCGAAATTTTTCGCCCTTGTCCGAGAAGGCTAGGTGTAGATCTTTCCTACCAGTAGATCAGGGGTGTGGCAGAAAGACAGCAGTAAGGAGGAGCCAAGGAGTAGCAGTAGAAAGGCTGTTGGAAGTTCACATGCACCTAACTAACTGTTTCAAATGTGAAAAGTAGCGTTCCCAGCCTCGTACGCCTACATTTTCCAAGCGAACCTAAAATATCGTGACATTTATGAAAATAACAATATTTTTTTCTCCGGAAAACCTCAAAGATCGATAACAACAATAAAAAGGGGATTGATAACAGCCAGAATGGAAAATCTTACATTTAGACTGATCAACAGATTGGGGTTGACCAGGTGATGAACTGTATGCGGCGCTGGGTCTTTTGAGATATCCGGAGGATTGGCACCCATACTGAACACTCTGAGATGATGCAGAGACTGGAAATGGAAAGAAAAAAAAAAAATATTGGGAAATTACATTTATTGATCTTCCTGGCCAAATCTGGAATACAGTGGTATGTACAAAGTACTTTCAGATTAATTCAAAGCGTAAATCAACATTACATAATGTCAATACCACCCCAATACAGTCAATTTTACAAAATTGCCATTAATGGTCACCAATATCCAGATTAATCCAAAGCGTAAATCAACATTACATAATACCAATACCACCCCAATACAGTCAATTTTACAAACATGTCATTAATGGTCACCAATATGCAGTGCCCTATTTTATTTTTTTTTAATTTCTAGTTATCACAAGTTTTTTTGTTTTTTTTAGTAGAGGGTTTTACGGCACTCGCAACTACATAGGTCATATGAGCACCAAGGGGTGGGTGTCAATAGAGAAGTCCTTACAGGGAATCAGACTGACTCTGCTCACCTCTCTGGCTTCACCAACACAAAGTCTGCTTCGACTATCAAGGCACCCGGAAATAGCAGTTCACAAGAGAGTGACAAACATACAAAAGAAGAAGAGGAAAGATGACGAAAGCAAAAGTAGATGTTGATTTTCCCGATCGAGCCTCTGTATCACACGTACACTTCCACCTGCCGCCATAGCCGCCTACTCGCGTGAAACGTACTCTCAGACCGAGAAGAGCCGAATGAATATCACAATCACGACTGACAAAAATATTTTTTTCGCGGGTCAGTTTACAGATTTCCTCAAATTCCCGGGGCATTCTCGGGTCTCTGTGATTTTTTTCTAAATTCCTGGGTTATTCCAAGGGCCCCTGGAATCCCGGGGCCTGGCAGTCACCTTGATAATATGTTAAAGCATGCACATAGCGTACACATACAAGGCGAAAAACTCACATAGTGAACAAATTTTCAGGTCGAGCATATTTAATAATTCTTTGAATTCTAAACACCATGAAATTTGTACATAACAAACAAATTTTTGTGTCTCGCTAATTCCGCTATGCTAGACGATATTCACAATATAATAATGTCTTACTTTCACAACAGCATTCAGTGTCTCCAGGGACAGTCGGCTACAGTGGTCTAGTTCCAGATCTTGTAGATTCGGGCACCTCTGGACAATGTTCATCACACCTTCATCTGTCTGGGAACACAAAAGCACAAAAACACAGGTCTGTCAATTGGAAATTATGACTGCATAAGATCATACGCATGCGTGGGACAATTTCAACAATTTTTAGTTTGATAGAATTAATTATGAATTTTGCACAGGTGACAGAAAATGAAGGTTTGAAAAAAAAAAATCAACCAACACAAACAACAAACAAGAGGAGCGGGGGCTCTCGTGGCCTAGAGGTTAAGGTGTTGGCCTCTCATTCAACAGGTCCCAGGTTCAAATCCGGTTAGCGACCGAAAAATTTTCTTCTCTAAATTTGTCTCCTTTCACCTCATTTCCTGCTCTCTAGCAATGTTCTGTCGTCTGCTTTCGTCTCCTCTTTCTGCACACACCCCCTCACCTCCTTTGCCCCTTCCTCTGGGCTCCTGATTCTTTCTGCAGCCTTTCTACTACTACTCCTACACTTCTTCTTACTGCTGTCTTTCAGCCACACCCCTGATCTTCTGGTAGGAAAGATCTACACCTAGCCTTCTCGGACAAGGGCAAAAAAATCTTGGAGGGCCCGTGTGCAAGTTGCGCACGTTAAAGATCCCTTGGTGGGCTAAAATCGATAAGAGTAGGCTTCGGCCGACACCTGGGCAAAAATCAAAATTTCCTACCAACTGAAAATATTAGGTGTGCCCGCACGCTCATATGACCTAATGCAGTTGTGAGCGCCGTAAAACACTGTACAAAAACAAAACAAAACAAGAGGAGCAGGAGAGAGTTACGAAAAAGTAACAGCTGCAACGACAAGATTGAATCAGAATAATTGACATGCTTTACACTCCCATTCACACAATTTAAATAATTTCAGTTAAGATAGCAACTACAGTCGAACCTGCCCTAACGGCCACTTCCCATTTCCTCACACGTGTATTTCTAACATTAAAATGAGACGTTTATAAGACGGCCACCTGTCCATCACAACCCCTTTTCTCCTGCACAATGGGTCACCATCTCAGACAGTTTCGACTGCATTTCAGTCTTGTCTGTCATGGCCAATCCACCCCTGCTGGTGGGGGGTTACTATGGAGGAGCAAAGAATACACCTGCCGTGATACTGCGTGTCGTAAGAGGCGACAAAAAGTGCATAGGTCTGGTCGCCCAAAAAGTGCCAGTTTGCGGAGGGCCAACTACCCAACCCAGTAAAAAACAGTAAGTTACAGAAACATGAACAAATACAGATTTCTATTTTTCGATCTTGGGAGACGGAGGAGCTTCTGCATCAGCAGGTGGGAAGACATGGAATAACATTAAGAGGCTAGCCCAGGATAGAGAAAAGTGGAGGGTGTTTGTCCGTAGCCTATACCCTGGTGCAGGGTGAGAAAGGCAATGATGATGATGATGTCATTGCCAACAAAAGATATGGTGAAATGGTACTGGTTGAACACCCCTATCAACACTAGTAGGTTATTTAAGAGGCGGGACCTCCAAGTTCGAAGTCCACCTCCCAAGTGACAGAGCCAAGTGAAAAATTCTTTGTGTATAGTGCACAACGTTGGACCGAGCTGATAACAAGTCCGGTAGCTTACCATTAGACTACCGACACCTCTACCAAAACTGAGTGGGATACAAGATTCCAACAGACAGACAGATGCCAGATAAAATAATCAGCTTGATCAGCAAGCCAACTCTTTCATGGATCCTGGAGAGGAGGGAGGAGCAGCTATAGCATTGTGCCCATAGCGATGATATCTATTCTCCTTGTTATAGTAGAGGTTTTTCGGCGCTCACAACTGCATAAGGTCATATGAGCGCCAAGGGGTGGATGTCAACAGAGAAGTCTTTACAGAGAATCAGGCTTACTCTGCTCACCTCTCTAGCTTCAACAGCACAAAATCTGCTTGACTATCAAGGCATCCCGGAAATAGAGGGTCACAAGAGTGTGACAAACAAACAAAAGAAGTAGAGGAAAATTACGATAGCAAGGATTAGGAAAGAAAAAGCAGCAGCACCCTGTTGTAGTTCAGGCACAGTTAAGAGCATGACATTGTTGGATCAGCCCATTTACAATTCTACTGTGCATTAGAACGAGAAATGTCCCCCCTTTGGGAATAGCCTAAAGACATTTCAGTCAGTGGCACCGCCCCGGGGGGTCATCTATTCTCCAGTCAGTAACCAAGTAAATAAGTGAGGATAAAACAAGTTCTCAATGCAGAACTCACCAGTTTGTGGCAGTCTCCCAGGCAAAGAGTCTTCATACTTGGCTGCGCATATTTTAAGAACTGCAGAAATAAACAATAATGAGAAGATACTCTCCATTCAAAAAGTCTATCCGGCTCAAACTCAATTTCAAAACTAATAATGAGAGTGGGCACCAAGGATTTTGGAAAATCCCTGAGAAATTTCCCAGTTTTATCTCAGATGTAAATAAGTAAGTTTATTCAGTGTTTAAGGCCATTGGCCCACATCACAAAAAGCAATAATTTGTTAAAGTTTTGATAATGAAAAAGTACAGTTTGTGCACATAGCTCTTATTATGAGTCAAACACTGCTTATTTCTGTCACTCAGCCAAGTCACGTTGGGAGGAATTAACAACTTCCTTTAATGGAAAAAAAATTGGACAAAAAAAAATAAAGCGAAATTCATCTTCAATTTCATGGGAGTTTAACATCTCACATAGCGGTGAATTTATTCATTTTCACCGATAAAGATTGTTATTGGATGGAAGGCTATGAGTTGGTATCTGAGTGAAACTGTTTTAGCAGGAGCTGATTGAGTCTCAGTGGCCAGTCATTGTATTCTTCTCAGCTGAACATCTCATTCTCCAAATACAACGTTGGCATTGTCATCAAATTGTTACCTTAGAAATACAAAATCTTTCTGACATCTTTGGCAATTTTGAGTTACTAAGACCATGAGGTCAGAAACCAAATGTGAGGCAGCGTGGTGGAATCAGGCTCTCGTCAATTTTTGGGCATGTAGAGCTATTGGTATCATCTTAAAGCTTGTTTACTTGTCTTTATTTGGATGAAAGAAATATCCATTTATCTTGAAAAGAAGTCAAGATATTTGCGAATGATGGAGGAGGGGGTCACCTGTTTTCAGACGTAAAATTAGTGAGAAAATGGCCGCCAAAGATTAGTTATTTCCTTAGCTTAAGAGTCTGTGGCAACTGGAAATTTACATTTATCGTACCTTTAATCAACGTTTTTCAGAAAAATCCACACAGAAATGAGTTCTTTAATGGACATGAAAGGTGTTGAACCAAAAAAAACAACAATTTGACAAAAATTTACAAATCTGCAGAAAAATGCAAGTTTCTTCATTTTGATTATTTTGACGAGAGCCTGATTCCACCACGCTGCCTCACAAATGTTCTTTTTGCTCTATCAAAATCGTAAGATTGTTCAGAGTTGTCATCAAGACATTCAAAGAATTACATTGGAGAATGCTCCACATGTCATGAGCAGAAGTCATCAAGACATTCAAAGAATTACATTCGAGAATGCTCGACATGTCATGAGCAGAAAGAACTTTGTAATTCCAGGACAGCTAAATGTTTGTCTTATATGGGTCGTTGTTGTTGTTGTTTTCAAATCCTTTTAGCTGCGAGCATTTCGCTCTCTTATATCAGGGCTCAATGGTTTTTAGTAATGACCATGAAGTAAATTAGTAATTTCCCGTAAAAATTAGTTTTAGTGCTCTCATTTTCAAATTACTATATTACAACAAACAAAAATATGTCTTAATTATGAAAAAATAGGGCTTATCGAAAATTAAATAAATGTGAAGGCCAAAGTTTTGCTTTAAACTCACCTCTTAAATCACAAAATGGTAGATGACTGATGTAATGGATTTAGGGTTGCATTTCAGGCTCTGGTGAGAGAGAGACAGACAGACAAACACAGAGAGAGAGAAAGAGTTCCTGCGTATGCGTGTGTGAGAGAGATATAGATAGATAGGGGGGTTGATTTAGAGATTGGCGGACGATTTACAGGTCTGCACTGAGAGTAAGACTAGTAAAATAAAAAAAGAGCCAAAAATATATATTTTTTAATAGCCAAAAATCTGCTGACGGTAAAAATCGTAATAAATCGCCTTACGATCAGAATTTCGTAGTGAGGCTAAAAATTCGTAACGATTACGAAAAACTCGGAATGTTTGGCAGCCCTGTTATATGGGTCAAAAAGCTATAGAAATATTTTTAACATTTTCTCCTAGCTGAGGACAACATGCACAAAGCCGGACGATCTGTTAGGAAACAGGTATAGCTGAGGGAAGTGAAGCAAGAGAAAGCATTGGTATTTCGGCCTAAAAAGCTGAGAAGGTTTCAAAATTGTGCGAGGAGTCCTCTTAGAGAAATTAAGTACCGTAAAGTACATTGAGCTTGCTTTTGAGAAAAGAAATGTGTTGTTCATATTAATCAATCTACTATCTTTATTATTCAGGTCTAGCCCCCCCTCCCAAAGAAATTTTTGTTTTGTTTTGAGTACAACTTTGAATACAAACCTTGCCGTTGATGATCTGATTTTCCATGCAGACAAATTTCTCCAGTTTCTGGCACTTGCGGAACAAATTCGCCACTCTGTGAAGTAAAACATATTTATGTATTTCACTATCCTAGAATTACAAAGTGCAATCTGCTCAGTACCTAATTTTGAACAAAAATTGACCTTAAAAATTTTGACTTTCACAACATTTTGTGGATGCAATTTGTTAAGATATCTTGATAACGACTCCGAATAACCTAACAATTTCGATAGAGCAGATAGAAAATTTAGCAGATGTAAAAGCAAGAACTGCCAAGGCAAGGTCAGCATTCAATCAATTATCAAAAGTCTAGAAAGTAAGCAACATCTCACTGCGCACCAAGATTCGACTCTTCAATTCCAATATCAAGTCTGTGCACCTCTACGGCTGCGAAACTTGGAAGACAACGAAGACAGTGCTGAATAAAGTCCAGACTTTCATCAACAGATGTATGAGGAGTATTCTAAGAATTAAGTGGCAGGATAGAATAAGAAATGAAGAGCTGTGCGAAAGGACAGGACAAAAGGACTAGAAGTAGAAATAGGGCTAAAAAAGTGGCAATGGATGGGACACACCTTCAGAAAGCCCAGCGGAAACATCACAAGACAGTTGCTGCAGAGGAACCAACAGGGAGCACGAGGCAGGGGTAGGCCACGGGAAACATGGAGGAGATGTGTGGAAAGGGACATGAGAGAGATGAAGCTCACTTGGAACGAACTTGGATGGAAGGCCCATGACAGAAATAAAAGGAAGAAGCTTGTATGTGGCCTATAGCGTGCCAGGGGTGAAAGGCATTGATGATGATGATGATGATGATGATGATGATGATGATGATGATGATGATGACTTCTGGCTTTAGTGTTCCCTTCTCTCCGGCGATTTGTACTCACCGCTCCTTTAAATATTCAGACATTTACGTACGCACTTTAGTTTTTATAGCCTGTGTATATGATGATGATGATGGAGATATTTCCGATATTGTCCAAACCGCACCAATACGTAACTTGTGGTGAACACTTTGTTGCTGTGGCGTCATCACCCATTTATTTTTCTCAAATACTATGTTCCTGATGAAGCCTTATTGGCGAAACGTTGAACTGTGAAATATATTTTTTTTTGGGAAATACAACAAGGTCTTAACTGTTTTAATACCTTCTTTATACAATGATGATGATGATGATAGAACATTTGGTTTCTGACCTCATAGTCTTAGTAACTGAAAACAGCCAAAAATGTAAGATAGAACTATGTCATTCTAAGGCAGCGACCCCCCCCCCCACCCCTTCTCCCCAAGATTGACTTTAAAAAAGTAAAATACAGCAATTTCATTTTAGGAGAAAATACAACAGTTGTTCACATAGGAAGTACCAGATGCATTATGGCTTGTACAGCCTCCATTTCAAAGTGGCCTACCTGCAGCTAGGATTTCCCCCTCAAGCTTCTTTTCAGAGGTAATATTATATTACCCTAACCTGTTCAAAGTAAAATGCAGCCATTGGCCACACTTGACATAAAATATAACTCAATTCCTCTTTCTATAAATAATAATAATACTGTTTGTGTACCAGTTTATCCCACAAACAGGCATAGGTGTGTTGAAGATGATATAGTGACTTGGTTAACATGAATCCATACATACCCTTTTTCTCCAACTGGATAGCATCTATTGATAGTCAATGACTGTAAGAAGAAAGAAAAAAACACAAACGACCCTGACTCACCATGTAAAGATATGTCTTTAAAAGTTAATCTAAAACACATAACACGGAAAACATTATGTTAATCAGATGGCATCATTTTGATAGGACTGGGCAGGGAAAAATAAGCAACAGAACCTTATAAGTTAAAATAATACAACAGTCCTCGCACATGAGCAAGCCATGTCTAATAATAATAATAAATGACATTTATATAGCGCTCAACCCCGATTTAAGTACACAGGCTCTGAGCGCTTTACAATACAGTACAACTTACAACAGTAACATAAAACGTTGTGTTTTGACTAAAGAAAATAATTCCAAATATTCATCTCATTAATCTAAAAACAGAAACAACTTCAGCTGGCATTTGAATGAATCAAAAGATTTGATCTCTCTTAAAGTACTTGGTAAAGCATTCCTGATCTTGGAGCCTTGGTATTCAAATGTCCTTTCACCAATTGTTTGAAGTTTCATAGATGGTAAAATAAATTTCTTTTTGTCAGCTGATGACCTTAAACTACGAGTTGGAATGTACAGTCTTAACAAATTATGTCTACAAACCCAGTCCAGGGTAGAGACAGTTTTTGCCATGAGAGAATATTTTTCCTTCCTAAGATCTACATGCTAAAGAACCTGATCAGGGACAACCCCCCCCCCCCAAAAGAAAAAAACAACAAACAAAACAAACAGGTTCACACTGAGAGACGTTGATCTATCTAACCACCCAGTTTCATTGTTAGGAAAAATAAATAAATTTGTGAGGCATCGTGGTGGAATCAGGCTCTCGTCAATTTTTGGGCGTATTGAGTTATTGGTATCATCTTAAAGCTTGTTCATTTGTCTTGCTTTCAATGAAAAAAATTACTCATCCATCTTCAATAGAAGTGGGGATATTTGGGATTGAAGGAGGTGGGGGTCACCTGATTTAAGAGGTAAAATTAGCGAGAAAATGGGCGCCAAAGCTTGGTAAATTCCAAAGCTGGAGAGTCCATGGAAACTGTAAATTTATATTTTTGTGCCTTTAATCAACATTTTCGGTGAAATCCTCATAGGAATGTGTTTGCAAACGGACATAAAAGGTGTTGAGCCCCAAAAAAAAAAAAATTGATAAAAATTGCTCAGCAGGGAGAAAACTGTTGTTTTCTTTGATTTCATTATTTTGAGAGAGCCTGATTCCACCACGCTGCCTCACATTTTTGAAGGATGGGTGGGGAGAGAAGGGGGGTTTATTGGTTGATTGGGTTTTTTTTCAATGTAGACGTTTTATACAGCCATCGACACTGCTGTACTTGAGAACAGTTTTAGTTTAGTAAGAGTTTTACACTTACAACACAATAAGGTCATATAAGTGTCGAAGATTAGAGGTGTTACAAGAGAGTAACAAACACAAAAAAAGGAGGAGAGATCAGGACGATAGATGTTAGATAGGAAAGAAAGAGCAAACCACACCAGAGCACCCGCCAACCACCCACCACTTGAGAACAGTGGAGAGATTAATATAAAAAACAAACAAACAAACAAACAAAACAAAACAACACCAAATAAACATGAACTTTTCTCCAGTCTCCTCACCTTGAGATTCTTGCAGCCATTAGCCAGTTCCTCCAGACCATGATTATCTGCTGCCACGCCAGACATGTCCAGCTGTTCAATGTTCGAGCAACACTGACCTGTGGACAGAAGCATTCGACAGTGTTTAACCACCCTGCCATGACACAACTGTTCAGGTTTGTGAAAAGTCATCACCCCCCCCCCCCCTTCCAAAGATAAAAAAACAAAACCCCCGAAACTCAAACACAGAACAAAACAACTCTCCTACCATATGCAAATCGTAAACCTTCTGAGAGATAAATTACAGTAGTAGAATCTCCGGATAACATACTCCTTTCAGAACCAAGATTTTCAACATTTCAGTCGAGGTACATATTAGTCAAAAAGAGTAAAAATAATAATTGGGACTTCAGAAAGAGAATGTTCCGGCTGATACTGTGTTTTAAGCCATGTACAAGATCTTGAGATTGTTTCTGAGAGTTCTAAAGTCTGCTGGGTTAATAATAGTTGTAAAGTACATTGAGCAAGCTGAAGAGTGTGGAAATGCACCATAAAAATGTGATTGTTATTATACAGTCAAACCTGCTCTGACGGCCACCTGTACAAACGGCCACTTTCCATTTCCCCCCTTGCGTTTTTTCTATAAAGTTTAACTGTGTAAAACGGGCACCTGTCCAACGCGGCCGCGGTCACCACATTTTAACACACAACCCCTATCACACTAAGCAATAACATCTGTCTTAGACGGCCACCTTAGTGACTCCCATTACATTTTGTCATAAATTGTGCATTGGCCCCTGGCGTTGTGGGCGAGCCGTCATAATTCAATCACTTGTTGTTGTTGTTACGTAGTCCCTCCAACCGATCATGTTGCGTAGGACCCTCCCACTGTTGACCAATAGGGACCAATTTTCAGCTGCTGGTGAGATTAGCGAGTGATCCCTCATTCCCATAAGGAATTCATATATACAAATCGTAAGTGAGATGAGTGGTCACTGTTTATTCAGTCTGTAACAAAGGACGTCAACATGAACTTGTGACAGAAGTGTCGCTCGTTCTCCGAGTGGTGGCAACTCATGTGTTTGTTTTAACATGGCACTCAGTCTTCCTCGTCTGATACATTTCATTTTATTGTCACCCTTTCACTAAATCAGCAACAAAACAAAAATTACAAATGAAATACAAACCAACAACAACAACAAAAACAACAACAACAAAGAGGCTACTGACTACTTTCGATTGGGGCCTCAGATGGAAATGGTTTGTTTTCTTTCTCTTGATCAGTCCTGCCTAAGACGGCCACCTGTCTTATACGGCCACTTTTCTCCTTGACAATGAGAGGCCGTCTTACACAGGTTTGACTGTAGTTATCATAATAAAGCATATAATTTTACAATTACGTGGGATGGTGGGAGAATATCATATAATAAATATAAATGTGAAGTGTGCTGACAAAATAAGTTACTTCTCGGATTCAAGCCTTATGGAAAGAGATACATCACACTAATTGGTGAAGTTTTTACAATTTATAAGTCTGAAATAATAAAAAGGAACGTTATACTTAAAGAATATGACATTAATACAAAATTTGTGAATTTGACACTAGTGTCGATTTGTGGCCAATATCTCCATTTGCGGATTTCGAGAAGTAACTCATTTTGTCAGCACAACTCACAAATGATACACATTACAATTGTAAAAAGTTTCGTGTAAATTAACAAAGCTTTTCCATAATAAATTCATAAAGAAGAAAGCATCAGTGCGACAAATCCAGATTAGACTCACCAATGATGGATAAAGATCTGTTGCCAAATCTGGAGGACACTTGAGAAATGTCAAGAGACTTGAGATTTTGACTGCATCTTGACATTATCTTGTGGAATATATTTTCTGAGAAAGCTGGGGGAAAAAAATGAGTAAAATAAAAATTAAAGTCTCTTAAAATGACTCATTTTATTTATGGACCCATTAGTTTCCACTGGGATAAATACATCGTTGGTGCGTGATGCTTACGGTGTAAGGCATTTTTCCCAAATTTTTCAGGAGGGAGAAATAAATCAATTTATTCCAAAATGCGTTTTAGCAGAGTAACGGTTTCAACATATGGGGGTTTTTATAAGATAATACACAAGATGGAAGTGTTTGTTTCTTCCACATCTAGAAAATACATGTTTTTTTATCACTTCCACCGATAGCATTCCCTTATGTTGCGCTTCCCCTACTCACTTAGTCCAGCCCTTGATCCCTGCACGGATGACATTGCCCAATATGGCGCGTGCAAACCGCGGGAGGCATTCTTATACAAGAAGAGAAGGTGCTTCAACCCTCTCTCCTTGGGATCAGGAGTTTCGATAATATAAGACATGCATGCACCTGGGGGATTGGAACTTGCAACATTGAAAATAAAGACTTACCTTTTCCCTTCCGAACAACAGTAACATTGACAAAAACAAACAACTACGACACCAACAGCAACAAACAATAACAACCGACCTATTTTTTTTTAATCATAAAGATTTGGATTCTTTTACTTTAAAATAAAACAACAGAAACGTGGTCATTTATAATTAGCTAACCCCACAATATTCTGAAGAAAAAAATAATAATTTGGATTCTAAAACCCGTTAGAAGTTAAGACCTTTAAAGGAATAACCTTAAAAAATGAGGACATTCACTTGTGCATAAAATTTACTACAACTAGAACAGTTACGTCAATGCAAGTTGAAACAAGTACACAAGCAATGGAGTAAGAAGTAAATGACAAAAACAGGCTTTTCTCCCAAAAATCCCCCCACCCTCACATACATACACACACACACGCACACACACACAGACACATACACTAAAAATGGAAAAGATGTGAATGCGATCATCTCCGTAAAAAAGGTTTCTATTTTCTAACAACACCAAATAAACATGAACTTTTCTCCAGTCTCCTCACCTTGAGATTCTTGCAGCCATTAGCCAGTTCCTCCAGACCATGATTATCTGCTGCCACGCCAGACATGTCCAGCTGTTCAATGTTCGAGCAACACTGACCTGTGGACAGAAGCATTCGACAGTGTTTAACCACCCTGCCATGACACAACTGTTCAGGTTTGTGAAAAGTCATCACCCCCCACCCCCTCCAAAGATAAAAAAACAAAACCCCCGAAACTCAAACACAGAACAAAACAACTCTCCTACCATATGCAAATCGTAAACCTTCTGAGAGATAAATTACAGTAGTAGAATCTCCGGATAACATACTCCTTTCAGAACCAAGATTTTCAACATTTCAGTCGAGGTACATATTAGTCAAAAAGAGTAAAAATAATAATTGGGACTTCAGAAAGAGAATGTTCCGGCTGATACTGTGTTTTAAGCCATGTACAAGATCTTGAGATTGTTTCTGAGAGTTCTAAAGTCTGCTGGGTTAATAATAGTTGTAAAGTACATTGAGCAAGCTGAAGAGTGTGGAAATGCACCATAAAAATGTGATTCTTATTATACATAAAACCTGCTCTGACGGCCACCTGTACAAACGGCCACTTTCCATTTCCCCCCTTGCGTTTTTTCTATAAAGTTTAACTGTGTAAAACGGGCACCTGTCCAACGCGGCCGCGGTCACCACATTTTAACACACAACCCCTATCACACTAAGCAATAACATCTGTCTTAGACGGCCACCTTAGTGACTCCCATTACATTTTGTCATAAATTGTGCATTGGCCCCTGGCGTTG